TAGATGGGGAGGCTACTTTGGATACAAAGCGTACACCCTAGTCGCCTGGAAAAGCTTTTTGCAGCTCTCAATGACACATTTATCTCCAGTACTGCTTTTTAAAATCATCATTGCTATTATTTTTAGATCGAAATATATAAATAAACTACGAGGGACAAAGCATTTGAGACTGTTTCAAAGTTTAAAGTAATTTAAAACCCCAAAGGCTCTTTTCAGCTACAAAATAAAACTACTATACTACTAAATATACTACACAATAAAATAATAACAATAATAAATACCCTCCTAGCAATTATCTGCTATAAGTTGTACAAAGTTTTCATGCTACCTATAAAGAATGAAAATTTAACTTTAAAAAAAGAGGAGCAGCAATTGTGAGCTTTTGCTGACATCTTGTGGGTTAAAAGAGAAACTACAGCTCAAACTTTAAACGACAGCTTCAGGTTTGTAAATCTTACATTCATATTTGGTTTAAAAAGGGGTAGGGGTAGTAAATTAAAACTAACCATGTTTTTTTTTTTTTTTTACCACAAATAACAAAAATAAAAACTGCTTGTAGTTAAACCACGGTGACAACGGTTTTGTTAATCTAACCATAGTTTAACCAAATATTTGTGGTAAAAATAAAAATGATAAACAATAATATTGAATGGCAAAATTTACTACATGGTTACTACACTTTTAATGTATCAAAACCATAGTTGATTTTCTTCTTTATCCAAACATATTTATTTTATCCAAACATATTATCCAAACATATGAGTTTGGTAGTGATTCACATACATGCTTACCAGTCAAAGGTTTATATATATATATATATATATATATATATATATATATATATATATATATATATATATATATATGTATGTGTGTGTGTGTGTGTGTGTGTGTGTGTGTGTGTGTGTGTGTGTGTGTGTGTGTGTATATATATATATATATATATATATAATTTTTTTAAATGCCTTTTGCTCAAGAAGCATGCATTAATTTTATCTTAAGTACAGTCAAAAAACTGCACATTTTTAAAATATATAGTTGTACCATTTAAAATGACTCTTTTCTTTTAGAAAATATTTATAATGTTATTTTTTAATACCTATGTTTTTAAAGCTGAAATGTTTGATCATTACAAATCATTCTAATATGCTGATTTGATTTTCAAAAAAGTCTATTAATTATTATTATTATTATTAACAAAAATAGTTGAGTATTTTTTTCAGTATTCTTTTATGATTAGCAAATTCCAAATGTTACAATTTAACCTATCTGAAATAATAAAAAAAGCTTTTGTAACATTACCCACTATTCAAAAGCTTGGAGTGAGTAGAATTTAGCAAAAATAAAATGAGATTTTAATTTTTGCATAATGGATCAAAAGTGATGAATAAGACATTTATAGTGTGATTTATATTTCAAAAACATCTGTTTTCCGATCTTTCTATTGATTAAAAAAGAAGAAGAAAAAAAACACTCAGCTGTTTTCAACATAATAATAAATGTTTTTAGAGGAGCTAATTGGCATATTAATATTATTACTGAAGGATCATGTGATTGATGCTGAAATGTTTTTAAATCACAAAAAATATTAACAGTTCAAAATATATTAAAATAGAAAACAGTTATTTTAAATAGTGCAGAAGATCAAAACAAACTTATTTAAGAAACATGAAAAAACGTAATAAATCATAAAACCTTACCTATGTACAGTCTATTTATAGGCCTAATTCAAAAACTGAATTACTACAACAAACTACAGTCTACATGGTATTTGTAGCAATGCTGTCATCCCTTTACAACAATTTTCTTAATTTAACTTTACTTAACACTAAAAAATCCTGTCAGCCAATGCAAAACAGCTACAAAGCCTGTGACGTAAATGCATCCGTTCCCGCTTAATTTCTCAAACATATAAAATGTGTACTGAAAAGGGATGAAGTCAGCGGCATTTGATGGATAAGACAGTATTTGAGGACATTTTGTTACTGTAGGCCTACCTGCTCAGTCGAAGATCGACAAGAAACCGTAGTTGGAAACGCAAAACAAACAACCATTCCTTCTGGATTTTAACTAAACTTTAACATAACGCTCGACAAACTTCACCATTAACCAATCAGCAAGCTTCATTCAACACGCACAACGTCAAAAATGGATAAAAGGTCAGTAATACGCGACAGTCCACCTGCTCGTGATTAACAACAGATTAAGATAGCTGAAAAAATAAGTATCAGTGTTGTTTGTTTGTTTATGCTATTTTTGACGAATATAGTAGACAATTTATTGACTTTTATAGGCTGTTATAAAGTTGTGGAGTTTAATAAAGTGGGTTGATGTTGACTATATACATTTTTGTTGTTACCTCATTATTTATTCGAAAGACCCCCTCCTCAATGACAAAGGTCCAGAATGTGTCGTATACATGAGCTTATTTGTTCTACTTTGACTGCTACACCATCATAAATTGTGAAAAATGCTTCAAGACCAAGCCAAATCATCTGTTGATCGTCAACAAACTATTATTTTTCACGAATCTAACATCCAGCTGTGAAAAAAGACATTCAATCGGATGTAAGTGAAGTCATCTTTCACCACTGTATTGTTTCCTAATAGGGAAAACATTACAAGTACTTTTATTTTAAATCTTGGACCTTATTCTTGAAACAAAAATGAACAATAAAAAGGTGTGAAGCTACAAAAGTGGCCCATAATAAAATGAATTTGAATACTAATTTGGCTATTGTTGTTATCCATGAAATGTATCAAATGCACTTATTTTACAAGAAAGGCTTGAAAAATCATAAAGCTCTTTTATTATTATTATTATTATTATTATTATTATTATTATTATTATTATCATCATTATGTTTTCATTATTTATAATTGAAATTACCAAATTCTGACTAAGGAAAGATGAATGTGCTGGCCAGCTTGTCATTTGACTAATAAATGAAAATAGGCCACAGTTTTTAATTGAAAACTTGAAAAGTTTCCTATTTGTTTTCTAATGATATAAATTTTCTAATGATGTAATAAATTTGTATTTTAAAAATAAGTATTTATTCATATTTCTTTTATCTAAATCTTAAGGAAATATTTTGGTACATTGAAAAGTTATGATGACCATCTGACAAGCTAATCCATCTTAAAATGTCACTAAAATCCAATGAGGATAATACCTGCAAAAATGTCCACATATTTGAGAAAAAAAGAAGCACCCGTTTCACCAGGCTGGCTACGGGCCTAAAAACAGTATTGTGTTTTTGTTGAAAAGATTTAAGAATAAAATATCATGCAAATTATGAAATGTTTAGTCTATATAATATAATATAATATAATATAATATAATATAATATAATATAATATAATATAATATAATATAATAAAATATAATATAATATACGTGCTGTCGCATTACAGCAAAAAGCCTTAAGCCTCGGCTGGGTCAGTTGGCGTTTCTGTGAGGAGTTTGCATGTTTTCCCTGCTATTGCGTGGGTTTTCTCCGGGTGCTTCGGTTTCCCCCACTGTCCAAAGAAATGTGGTACAGGTGAATTGGGTAGGCTAAATTGTCTGTAGTGTATGAGTGTGAATGAGTAAGTGTGGATGTTTACCAGATACGGGTTGCAGCTGGAAGGGCATTTGCTGCGTAAAACATATGCTGAATAAGTTGGCGGTTCATTCTGCTGTGGTGACCCCAGATTGATAAAAGGACTAAGCCGAAAATGAATAAATGAATAATAAAATATAATATAATATAATATAATATAATATAATATAATATAATATAATATAATATAATATAATATAATATAATAATGTGACCACAAACCTTTCTTAAGTCTTAAGTTTGCCTTGTATAGTTTGTTTTGATAGGACAAAATTAAGCCAAGATACAACTAGGCTATGTGAAAATCCAGAATCTGAGGGTTCAATAAATAAATGAATAAATAAAAAAATCTAAATATTGAGATAATCACCTTTAAAGTTGCTAAAGTTCTTAGCAGTGCACATTACTAATCATATATTACAGTAGGAAGATTTTGTGGTATAATTTAATTTAATAAGGCTACTTTCGGGCTTTTGGAAATTTTTCAGACTCCAGTGAACTAATAATTCTTTTTTTGTTACATTTCAAATCAGTCAATAAATCCAAGAAGTTTGAAGTTTAAACAAGTTTGAAATACATTAACTAATTTAAATACTGTGTGAATATACTTGTAACTATGCTGTTGCCTACATTTCTATTGCTGCTCATTTCTGATGAAATTATTAAATCCAGAGAGATCTTCCTATTCAACTGCTGCCTGTTCTCCCTTTATTGGCCACATACACAAATGTGCGGTCTGTATGTTTGCTATCCAACTTCTCATAAAGAAGACAAGTTATGAAAGCAGAACATTCAAAAATCTCTAAATGGAGCAACATGAAAATAAAATAATGGTTTTGCAACTTGTGTCCTGCCCTAAAATTCTCAGCCAGTGTCGTCATAGTTTTGTCTTTTAGAAATCCTGGCGCTAGCACTACACTTAATCCCAAATAACTCAAAAATAAAACAAAAAATTAAATAAATAGAATCAACCATGCTTTAAAAAGTAAGGCTTTTTGCTCTTTATTGTTGTCTTTTCCTTATTTAATGAAAAGTCATTAGAAAATAAAATCTCTACAGTGAAGAAAACCATAAGAAAACTCCAAATGACAGATTCTGATCTAATAAAAATAATCAGTCTCACCTAATTATGTACAAACGTGTTAGGACAAGTTTCTCTCCATTACAAAAACAAGAAAAGACAGTATAGGCCACTGATTTTTGTAAACATAATTTATTTTAAAAATCTTAAAAAAACAAAAGTGCATACAATCTTTACAATCCTTCTTCTTACAGTATATAACACATATTATAACACAATCCACAACTACAGGCAAGTTGGAATTATCAGTGCTATGTTGTAATATCAAAAATATAGCTTAGAAAATAGAAAGCTGCAGCACTAACATAAAAACTGAGAACTAAACAAGTGAAATAAGTTAAATAATTTAGAGAACTAGTCCTTGCATGTGCCATTGTGTTTTAAAAGTGATGCATAGAAGTAACAATGCATGGCTTACACATTTCAGAGAATGAATGTCTCAGCCACATCTGTATCTTTGCAGTATTTCAGTTTGTCTATGTTGAGGCAGAGCTTCTCCAGGAACCTCTGGAGCTCCAGGAGGTGCAGGTAGTTGGAGGTGACGGGGAAGGCTGTTTCTTCTTTATGCACCGGGGTCTCGGGATTGGGTAGAGGGCATCCCTGTGAGACGGCCAGTTCCTCCAGTGTCCTCAGGAGAGTCTCTAAGTCTATCTGGACCTGCTGTAGGTGCTGAGCTGGAGGAACATGCAACCGCAACTGCAGGTAACTCAAGTAACTCAAGACAGAACTGAGACCATCAATGGGGTTGTCGATGTCAGGGCCGAAATCAATCTCTGGAGACATCTGGAAGTGCTAGAGAGATATGCAGATGTTACTGATTGTAATTGTTATGTGTTTTTATATGTAGTTGACGTTCAAACTATTAGTGGAATTTAGTCATTGATCATTCTGCTGTGGTGACTCTTGATAAATCAAGAACTAAGCTGATGGAAAATGAATGAATGAATAAAAAATGTATCATTTAATTAGAAAGGCCAAGAACCAAGAGCCTTTTTTCCCAACATTTTTAAACAACATAGTTTTAAAAACTAATTAGTTTTTGCCATAGAGTTAAAACATATTTTTTTTTTACCTGTTATTTTAGTAGTTATTTATACTAGATATTTTACTAGTCATTATACTAGTATTTGGCTTAAAGTGCAAATGAAAGGCTTTATTAAATCAGTTAATTAGGTTAACTAGGCAAGATCGGTTAATTAGGCAAGTTATTGGACAACAGTCATTTATTCTGTAGCGAATTGAGAAGAATAATTTCTAATCATTTTAATAAATATTGACCTTAAAAATATTTGCCAAAAATGTTAAACTTTATCCCAGCCAAACTAAAAGATATAAGAGTTTCTCAAGAATAAAAAACAACAGTACACAAGTAATTAAGTATATAAAAGAATGAGAGAATATAATTCTAAACGAAAGTTTTTATTTATAAAATATTTAAATAGATTTCTTATTTAGTAACACTACAGTGCTTGACATGATTTTTCACCATGTAGTTTTCTTTGCTTTGTTCCTGGTAACAAGAACAACATTAAGCTGTACTTATTGCCATATTTAAACATCACATTTGGTGTAATAAATACATAAAAAACTAAATGATATGATATAAAAAGGAAAAAAAAAGATGTAATGACAAACAACAAACAAAAAAAAATTGTACACTAATAAAAAATTATCTCAATTTTCTTAAAAAAAATGGACAATGCAAAGTGAAAAGAAAAAAAAAATACTGCAAATCCCATCAAAAAAAAAAAAAAATGTTTTATGCTTATTTATTTAAATGCAAAAAAGCATCAATTTCAATGTCCTGCCAACACCAAATTATTTTAGGCCAATAAATAAATGATTTTTCTATTATTTCTATTTTCTAAATACCAAAAGTACAAAAATATATCAAATTGAACTGAACATCAAGCATTTAATTAGTTTAGTCTAATAAATAAATAAATAATTTTACCAATTTGAAGTACATCATGCTAAACCAAGTGCCAACAATATTTTTAGTCCAATAAATAAAATTATGTATTTTCTGCATGTACTGTATGTCTAAATGTAAGCTTATTTATTGATTTCCCATACAGTGACAACAAGGAAATAAAATCCATATTTAGTCAGCTAAAGAGCTAAAGTTGTTTGTTTTCCAAGATGATTAAAAATAACATATTTTTGAGTTTCACAGAAAAAAAGTAAGTCATAGGGGTTTGGAACAACATGAAGGGGCTTAAATCGTTGCAAAACATTTACCTCATCTTTGATTTTTTTAATTCGGCTGATGGTGGTTCGAGCAATGATTCGTATCCTGTCTTCGGGAGCCGTGGGTCGACTGATGCTCACGGCCACCAGGGATGATATTAACAAGCAAAAAATCATTGAAGACTTCATATTTCTGCAAAAGACCAAATGAAATTATATTTTTTCAAATAGTTTGTTGTGTACATCAGAATATCCCAGTTCAATATGTTAAATACAGTAAAATAATGAATAAAGCTAGCCTAAACATTACTCATTTACACAACAGTTAAATACACTTTAAATAAGGTTTTACTCAAACACATGTATTTTTATTTTGTGCACTTTAAAATAAATAAATAAATACAAATTGACATTCCTTAGACAAAATGAAAGTAATACTATTTTTTATGTTTAGTTTTTAGTTTTTATTTATACATTTTAATCATTAGACAATACAAAACCAACATTAAAACTTAAGAATAATTAAAAATAATCATAATTTCAACTAAAATGTCTGCTTTCAACAATTAGATATGTTTATTTAACCACTAACTCAGCACGATTAGAATGATTTATGATCTTCACTACATTGAAGATTCATGCTAAATCAGTCCCTTAGTTGTGTGTAATTCAAAAAACCAAAAATCAATGCACTTAAGTTGCTGAGTACAGTCCAATAATAAATGAAACTACACAGTCAAGAAGCCTAAAGGTCATATAGAGATGTTTGGTGCCCATGTTGACAAGAATGAGTGAGCGCTTACCTCTGGTGTGTTGATGTGCATATTGAGAAACTCAAGCAGGAATCTCCCTTTTTATAGCTGTGGATGATTGACTCATTTCTCCAGTGAATCACCCTGATGCCGGTCTGGTCTGGTTCACCCCTGTGTCCATCATGAACTTGAAGACTAGAGAAGACCCTTTCAACAAGCCCGAAACATCAAACCCGGGGGCTCCAGGTAAGGACACTTCCAGTAAAGTTGTGGTTAATAAATCTTGATAAATGACAGCTGGGCCCCACATGTATTAGAGGGAGTTTGTTTTCACTTTTAAGGCTGTATATGTCAATATATTGACCTTTTATAGGACCGTATCTTTATTTGTCATGCTGATATGAATACATTAAAGTTGGGATATTTATGGGGCTTGATTTGTTAAAATTTGTTCAGAGTTTAACAGCACAAGTTTTTACCGCAAAAATTGGCTTGTTCGCTTAAGTATTGTTTTGTATATGTATACACAGTTAGTGAGATTATCTGCCAGTTGTACCCAAGTAATATTTATTGTTAGAATTTACTAAATTAATGATTGTGGCTATTTATGATGTGGTAAAACAATAGATAGAGTGTAGTACTTATAGTGCATCTCATATTATAGAAACAATAGTATAGACCAGTATAGAATTGATAGAAAATGATGTGAATAATTAGTCAGCAAATGTTATATTTGTTTTATGTGTTGACTCAACTCTAAGTTAACTGTAATAAGGTTCATAGTTTACAATTTATTTGTACATCTTTATTGGCTACGGAATGTTTTATGCAGTTATATAAATGGTAAAATAAACAATTGTGCTGCACATTTTAAGTTAATTGTAACAATGTGAAATATTCAAGAACATTTGAGTAAACTCAAAGTGACTAAAAAATAAAAGCAGTTTTGAATTTTTTAACAACTATTTTAAGGAGAAAATGATTAGCCCCTTTAAGCTATTTTTTTTTCTCTCCAAAACAAACCATCGTTAATCAATATCTTGGCTAATTACTCTAAGTAGCCTAGTTAACCTAATTAACCAAATTAATCCTTTAAATGTCACCTTAAGCTGCATAGAAGTGTCTTGTCAAATATCTTGTCTATTTTTTACTGTCAACATGGCAAAGATCAAATAAATCAGTTATTAGAAATGAGTTATTAAAACTTATGTTAAGAAATGTGTTGAGAAAAATCTTCTCACAGTTAAACAGAAAATGGGGAAAAAAATAAATAGGGGGGCTAATAATTCAGGGGGGCTAATATATCTGACTTCAACTGTAGATGTATATGGAATGAAATGCCATGGAATTAAGTACAAACAAACAAACAATATAAAGAAGTGAATAAATAAGATGTCTGCATGTTGAAATTGTCAGTTAAATGAATAATTGTTCCCCTTCATCTCCAGAGTTGCAACGAAAGTCACTTGTTCAAGATTTATTTTTCCTTTTTTAAGTACTGTAATTACTTGTATACTTTTTCATGTAATATACACTAGTTTTACTGGAAGAAATTGTGATAGACATTTATTACCACTGTACAGTATAGAATGTACTTTTCAAAAGTAACAAAAAAAAAAAAAAAAAAAAAATTAAATAAAAATAAAATAATAATAATAATAATACTTAATAATTTAATTTCCATAAAATATTTACACAGTTGTTCTTACATTCTTATATAAATAGGAATAAAGGGATTTTTTGCCATTTTTATTCTTTTAATATGCTGTTTGATTACTAAAATTTATTTAACTATTCAAATAGAGTCAAGAAACAGAAAATCTAGAAACATTTTGACTACAAAAATGCTGATTTATTATTACAGCCTATTATAAATTCATAATGTTGAAAAAAATCAGAATTTCAATAGGTAGCTCAAAACATGTTTTCACCACTGTTAACATTTCTCATGAGTGTTTTTTTTTTTGGTTTACTGGCCACAAAAATGTGAAAACACAACTCTGCAATATTAAAGATGCATTCATGTCGCCTCTAAAAATCTTTCAGATAAAAGTATTGTACCTCAGTTTACATGACGTGACAATCATATGACTCAGATGTAGTTTATTGCACTCTGAGGCAGCAGTTTTCAGACGCAGGCAGAATCTGAAGGCAAAGCGACTGCTTTATGATTACCAGATTACAAATGAAAGCTGCTAAATAGTTAGCACACCATCATCTCTTAAACACTTTTATGGACATGATTTTAGTCAGCATATGTTTCTTATGACTGTATCATTTCATACTTTGTGTCTTAGCTTACAAAGATAATTTCTTTGAGTTTTCTTATTAGGAGATTTTTTTTCTTTTTTTCCTGATATGAATGAAAAATATTGTGAGACAAATTAATCAAAGTGGAGGCCGCAAAAGCTGACTAAGCACTTTATGTATTCTCTGGATGAAACTAGCTTGGCTGGAAAAGCCATGCATTCCTGAAGTGCTCTGAACTGTGTGTTCGTGCTCATGCGTGTTTCCTGTCTCTCGTCTATGTGTGAATATTTTTACTTGTGTGTGTGTGTGAGTGCGTGTGAATTTGTGCATGTGTGTCTGTGATGTAATTCCCTTCAGTGTAAGTTCCTGGAAATTACGTGGTTTGGGTTTCATTGGCCTCACTTTTATTACTTTAGTTGCATGTTGGTAGAAAAGAAAGTTGTCTTGCTTTTGATACACAATAGATATTTACTGCTGAATGCAATATTGTGTTGTAGACTGATCTATAGGTGTTAAGTTGGTGATGCATCCTGTAGTTCCAGATGACTTCAGTTTTACACCAGAGAAATTAGTCTTTTGTATATGTTTTTGGCACAATATTTTTTATGTAGTAGCATTTGGATTCTAAATTGTGCAATACTAATTTTACATAGAACAGAAGCAGAACTGAAGTAAACTTTATTCAATCAATAATGTAAATTATTATAATAATTGAAATAATTGATATTATTTCAAATTAATTTTAATTAAAAAATGTAAACTTTTAAACTTAAGTATATTTTATTTGCTTTTTAAAATTTATATATTTATTTTTGCAATATCTGATACAAATTTCCTATTTATTTTAATTATAGTTTTTACTAACGCTGGCAGTAAAACGCAGTTTTTTTGTTTGTTTGTGTGTGTATGACATATACTTGTTAAATAAACACACACATACATTGCTCAGCATGTAAAAGTACACCCCTCACAGATATTTAAATTAATATTTTTAAAATAGGAAGCTACACAATATTATATTTGTGCACATACATTAGATTAGTCCGTAGGGAAGCCAAATCTGGAGCATAGCTAACTAATTAACTCACGATAATGGGCCAAAAACTAGTACAGCAAAATGTATATGTTTTAGAAAAATAACAAATACAAATTAACAAAAAAAAGGAAAAATCAAGAATAAAAAAAATATAGTTTAACATTTTGTAGGTTGTAATTTTTTATGCAATATTTTGTTTGAATTCTAAATTCTTAATTTGTTTGTTGACTTAAATATTATTTTAATAAATATATCTGTTTAATAAATGGGGTGATGCGGTGGCACAGTAAGTAGTCTCTGTATGGAGTTTGCATGTTCTCTTTGCATTCGCGTGGGTTTCCTTCGGGTGTCCAAAGACATGCGTTACAGGAGAATATTGTAGGCTAAATTGTCCGTAGTATATGAGTGTGAATGAGTGTGTGTGTACGGATGTTTCCCAGAGGCATCCGCTGTGTAAAACATATGCTGGATAAGTTGACGGTTCATCACCCTAGATTAATAAAGGGACTAAGCCGAAAAGAAAATGAATGAATGAATGTTTAATAAATGCGTTTTGTTTAAATGCAACAAAATACTTTGCCTATATTCACTGAGACATTTGAGACATATTTTGTCAAAACACACGTTTATTTTGGATTCAATTAATTGTGATTAATGTTTGCCTATTCTTAAATAAAATTTAAAAACGTTTATTTTTGTTTATCTTTGTACTTGCTTTTTTATGTATTTATTTAGTTTTGCAATAATTATGAGTTCAGTATGTCATCAGTATTTTTAACTTGTTTTGCTGGAAATATGAATAATAAACAGATGACTTAAATGTTTCCAGACATGCATCGAAAGCCTCAAAATTCCAATTTACAGTCTGTTGGGTTTTTAATTACTGTGTGAGAGCAACGCGGCTTGGCTGAACGTGACTTGACAGTTTTTTTTTTTTTTGCCAAACAAAAGGCTTTTGAGTGATTAACAGTCCATTTACCGTAAATCCTAATTGGGTTCTCTTTGATGCTATTTTTTTGAGTCTGAGATATTTAGGGATAAAATGCTACTTGGTTTTGTTTCTGCATTTTTGTATTTTCGTTTTAGTCTAATTTAGATACTATTAATTTATGTTTTAATAACACATAAACACGTTCAGACTCTGATAATGA